TCATGGTGCTCCCCTTCACTGCGGCCACTCCAGAAAAAAAGCGTATCCATCTCCAACGTCAGTGAGCTGGCCTTATTAGCCAGCTGTGTTTCACTCAGGACTGCCATTTGGATACGATACCTGCCAAGTTCTCTTCAACAAGAGCTGTTCGTCTTCCAGGCCCATGCCGGTTTTGTGTTGTCTATGAGTGTGAGCACATTCCGTGTACTGATGGTGAGTGGAATCATCTTTGTGGAAGTTTTTCTACATTTTTGTGTTTCAACCAGAGTGGGATCCCCAACCGCCGTGGTAAATGAGCCAGGGCAGAGCAAAGCAGACAATTTTTAGGGCATCTTTTCTAGCCCCTTCTTCACACCAGGAGATGAGCAGTGCAATCTTTAAAAGGCTGCTCAGATATTCAGGGGCCTGCCGAATCCCACTTCTGCTTCCTGTGAGAAGACAATCCTATGGCCTGGGTGGCCCACGTATAGGGTTGTAATGACAGCTCCCAGTGTATCCGCACCTGCTGTTTTGTCACTTGCCTGTCGCCACAGGACTTTGAGACAGGTAAAATCGTAAAATGGTACGGGTGATGTCCTTTGATTCGTGTGTAAACTGGGTTTAAGTGAGGCAGAAATCATCGGCCTCACTCTCTCCTCCCAAGTCATCACAGTCCAGTGTCAGAACAGAATCAAGATGACTGGTGATGGCTCAAGATGCATCTTCGATGTCTGACCAAGCTCTCAGCACTCCACAGAGCCAGCTCCAGCCCCTTCATGGCCGTTGGAACAAACTGTTCTCACCTGCCCATTCCACTAAGGGAAGTCTTCACATGCTTGGGGCAGACACCCCCCTAACTCAATGAAGGGTTCGAGACCCCTTGGTTACCCTCAGCCTGGGTCAGCTCATCTGCCAAAACAGTTTACCAGGTGTGGCCGCTGCGCATGCTACAGCTTCTTGGAGCCACAGGTGAGAGGTGGGTGATTGGTTGGACACCAAAGGTGGAAAGCGGTCCTCACACCAGAGACACTTGTCTTCCCCGAATACCATCCACCCCTGAGGGCTTAGTGAGTGCTTGTTGATCGACTGTTATCCAAGGTTTCCTTTTACTTCTAGGTCTCATTTGCTGACTCATCCATGTCACGTTCATTAACTGTGACTGGTCTCCAAGGCTCCATTCTAGGTGCGCTCTCTCGCTCTCTCTCTCTCTCTCTCTCTCCCTCTCTCCCTCTCCCTCTCCCTCTCCCTCTCCCTCCTTCCCTCCCCCTCTCTCTTCCCATCCACAGTGACAGAGGCATCAGGTGCTCAGACTCACACACCATGAAAACTTCAACTACTAGGAAGAAGTTGATGGCAAGAGAAAATGGGAAGGCTTTCCCGATTTGGTGTCATTCAGGTACTTGGAATAAGGCCTCGGAGAAACAGTAGGAGTCCAGTTCCTTAGTTTGTGAAGCTGGGGTAGCTTGGGGCTTCAGCCAATGGACAGTGCAGAGTGTCCACATTACTATTAATTGTGAAACGTGGGCTCTGCTCCGATCTAGCCTAGCATGGTGGCCGAAGCTCAAAACTACTCACTTCATGTCATCATCCAGGTGTAGGGGCATTTTTTTCCACTTCTGAGGTTATTTAGTTTTCCTCTGTAAGTTAACGAGTGAAGATTACTGTGAACATTATTCTTGGTGCTGAGGCAGCCTGAAGCCCTCCTGAGATGGGGTGTACCCTGAAGGAGAAGGCGTGCAGCATGGAACAGGCTGTGCTTGAGGGGAAGAGGCCGTGTGTGCACTTTGAGCGTCTAAAAAGCCGAGAGAGGGGGAAGACTGTGCTCTGGAAGAATTCTCCCCCTTCCGTTCTCTCCTCTCACCAGTCCCACCCTTTCCCCAGATTATTGCAGGGGCCTCTTCTTGGTCTCCTTGCCCCCAGTCTCCCTTCACTCCAGCCCATCCTCCAAGGGCTGCCAGAGTCATCTTGCTCAAGCAAGAATCTGGCCATTATTTCATTTTCCAGCTGGAGAATCTCAACAGTCCCAGAATTTTAGAATTAGAGGAGACTCCAGTGCCCTCTGGCCCAGCCTGTACCCTTGCAAAGCAGCTGTGCTATGCCCCGCTCACTGGATCATCTCCGTCGGGGGTCATCCAGCCACAGCTCCCTTCCAAAGCATCCCCTCTGTGCTGGGACTGCTCTCATATGAAGCCCTTTCTCCTGACATGGAGCCTAGACTGGCCCTTCTGTAACTTCTGCCCACATCTCCTGGTGGCTTTCTTCTGGATTCTCTCAGCTCGTCCTTCAACAAGCATTTATTAAGCGCCTCCTACAGCCTTGTGCTGGGGATGACAGAAAGAGAATCATGCATTCCACCCAATCTCTTTTCGTTGAGGAGACAACATGAACATAGATAACTTCTTCCCTTTTATATTCTCTTCAGCAGTTGGGCACACAGAAGTATTTTTTCATTCATTCACACAAAATAGATCTAATGAGACTTGGCAAGTCAAAGAGAGAACGCTGGGCTCACTGGGAGCCTTTACCTGCTGACGTGCTCGCTGGCCTTGCCGTCATCTTCCTTTTAAAATCTGCCTTTGTTGGTAGGTTCCCTGTCCATCCATATCGATCTCTTTGGCACCTCCCCTCTTTCCTTCTCTTGAAGTGAAGAGGTTCATGTTTGAGTGTTTTCCATCTGCTGAGTTGACTGGAAGAGTGTGAGTCCACGGTCTCCTGTCCTTCCTCTGGACTCTTTGAAATCTCTCACCTGGGCTATGAGCACCTGAGGATATGAGCACGATGATCTCGGAAGAAGGATTGCAGACTCTTAACAACCAGATGAAAGACTGCTTCAAATAAGGGGACAGATATCCATGAAAACAAATCTGAAGTGTGGATTCACCAGCAGCATCTTGGCAACAATGACAGTGTTGGAGGAGCTGAAAGGGGCTCTGGTGGAACCATGCTCTGCTCCCAGCACTCTGCAAAGGAACTTTGACTTAGCATCTTCCAGGGGTCGAAATATCCTTCGCCATCGATTCAGAGATTGCACAGCCAGAGGTCAAAGACGAAAGGAGGCTCCCACGTGCACCAGAATGTTTGTGGTCTTCTTTGGAAGTTAGATTTATCCTGTGTATTGCTCAGATATGTCCTTTTGGAAGACAGACAACCTCACCAGTGCTCGTATCAAATTGGCGAACACCTGCCTCGGTTACCCTGAGCATCCTACAGTCCCCAACAATAAGTTTGCTTCTCTTCTTGCTTTGACCCCTCCTGGATGATCTCTCCCTCAGCAGCCTCTGGGACTCAGAGTCTGGGCAGCCGCCTCCTCTTTAGGGTGAGCTCATAGTTGCACTTGCGCTGGAATGAAGAGAGAGAAGACGGCCCTGCCCAGCTTCACTCTGACTTCTGATGTGCCAGGGTCTTTGCAGCCTCTGGCTAAGGAGACGGGCCACTCTGTTGGGTCTGCCCAGAGAGCAGACTTCAACCCTGCCCACACCTTAAGGGCCTCACCCTGCTCCTCCCGGGGGTGGGCACGCTGGGCCGGCCTCGGGCAGTCTAGGCACCCTGGGTCAGTGAGTGGCACTAGCCCCTCTCAGCCTCAGACTCCTCATCTGGGCAGTCAGGAGGAAGGGGTTGGATTTAATGACTTCTAAGGTCACTCCGGCGTCAAGATCCAGGGGTGTGTGTGTGTACACATAAATATACGTCTACATATGAGTGTGTGCGTGGATGTCTGTACACACTCGCATGTATTAAATCAAATCCCAGAGAAAATGATAGCTCTCCCATTTTCTGTCCAGTGTCCGTCACTGTGAGCATTCTTTTCAGATGCCTCTAAGTTGTGCTTCCCCCAAATTGTTATAAAGATGACCCCAGACTCAGTTCCGAACACTGGTGTCTCAAAGACTTTTTATTAAAGAGGTTGAAGTACGTCGTTTTGATTCTTGCAAGAAGCCGCTACACCTCCTTGGAAGGGGAGAGCGGACTTTATAGTTAGTAATTGCCTAACTCCTCCCTCCTGAATCAGGATTGGTCCTAATCCTTCTGGATTACAATCTTCCTTATAGACCCCACCCTTAACCTACATTATGTGCCTAGAATTGTGTTGTCACCCCCCCCCCCACCATGGAGAAGTTGGCCTATCTGTGCTGATTTCTTATCTACTTATGTGGAAACTTAACTCCCGTTTCTCACATGCTTGAGCTCCCTTGTTTCCCCATGGCCTCTGAGATGGGTAGAACTCCATACCTGACATGGAAAGCACTTCCCCTCATCTTTCACCCACCTGCCCAGACTCGGTGTACTCAGTTGCCTTCTTTTGCTCTCTCTTTTCCAGTCCAAGGGCTTCTGATGGTTCCCTCTGACCTTTGAGAATGCCGCCCTTCCTCCAAGGCTCTCCCCACGAGCACTTATTTGTCACATAGCGTATCCCCCAGGGTCGCTGGCCTCCTGGCATTCCCTCTGGCCATCCCCCAGGCCTGGAAGGCTGCCCCTCCTCCACTCTGATTACTGACCTCTCCAGCTTCCTTCCAGTCCCAGCTCAGGTCAGATGTGCACATGCCCACGCTCACACACACACCCATGCTCACACACACACCTGCATGCCTCAAGAGAGCACTTTCTCTGATGGGATGCCTGGGATCCATGTTCAGTCCCGGCTCTGATTCTGTGACCCTGCAGCCGCCAGGATTTACAGCTGGGTCGCTGGCACACACTTGCCACCGGAGAATGGTCTGGATGATGGAGAAGATTTTCTGGGTGTTCCCAGCTCTTTTCTTCCTTTGCCTGCATCTCCCCAGCCCGGGTCTGGGAGCCTGCTACAGAGAGCTTGGCAGAGTAACCTGAGGTCCATTAGCTGGGTTATAATCTGTTTCCTTTCTAATGCCACCCATTTTATTTGAGGCATTTAAAAGCCTGCTCCCCCACCCACCTGAGGGATGGAAGCGGGGTGGGGGAGGCTCACCATGACCCCCAGGGCACCCTTCAGGCAGCCTTCTGCTCCAGAAAGCCTAATTAGATAGTTTTGTGCTTTCTTTCAGCGAATATTCTGTATCTGGGAAGCCAAGAAATGAGGATCATTTTGGAGAGAGACAACCACACCATCCAAAAACACTTAAAGAAGGTAATTGCAGGCGGGCTGCTATGGGGGTAGGGAAACGGGAGCTGGCGCTCTCTGACCCCTTCATAGCTGGATAAGAAACGTGCATCCTTGACCCTCTCCTTCCCTGGTGCTTACCGAGGGCCACTTTTTAAAAGGGGTCTCACTAGCATCTGTCTCCTAAGATTTTGTTCCATTTTAGAAGGTAAGACAGCTAGGAGGGAGCTTAGAACAGAGAACATGGAATGCCAGAACATGGGGTGAGGGGGCAGCCTTAGAACAGAGAATGTTAGAGCTTGAAGGGAGCTTAGAGTAGAGAACATGGAACGTCAGGACCAGGAGGGAACCTGAGAACAGAGAGGGTCCGGAGTCAGTCCTCTGGGCCATCATCACAGCCTGGATGCCCACCAACTCTTCTTCCATAGAGCTCTTGCGGCCTGCTCGATGTGCCCAAGTCTCTGTCACGGGGCGCCATTGCTCACTAGCACTACAGAGTTGACTTCACCTGCTTTGTATTCTGGGTCTGCTGATAGGATGCCCCTGCCAGGAGCCTGGCATGTGGGCACCAGGCAGGTCTGCACAGTTGGCCCCCTGCCTTGATACACTGTGGACCATGATCTTAGGAAGCATAAGTCATGTTGACACCAGAAATCTAGAAGTCAGTGCTAAAGAGTGTGAGCCAGGGGCAATCACGAAGCCCTCGGGGCAAAGATGATGTTTTCATCACTATTACCTGTTGAGCAAAGGGCTTTGAAAGGAAGCCGCAGAGCCATCTTGAAACATGTCTGAAAGCCAGATGGGCATTTGTGGAGTAGAGCCTAAAAGTGGTGGGCACAGCAAGCTGCTGGCCAGCAAAGGGAGAAAACTGGGTGCAGAGAGCCACCAAACTCAATACCCACAAAGGGCAGCCACATTTTAGGAAGAAAAGACGCCTGGACATTCACAGGAAAAAATCTCAGAAAGGAAGCAGCAGTAAAAACCCATGACCTTGGAGGGTCTGCAATACCAATGGGCAGAGGATGGGTAGCAAGCTTCCAGAAGGCGGATCCAACCTCATCTGTACCACCGAGATTTGGTGCTGTGGGACCTGTGTCTAGCATGTGGCCCTGGAGGAGTGGGCCATGTTCATGGGGAGGGAGCAGCAGGGGAAGAGGACGATTGGGGTCACACAGCGCAAGCAGAAGTCACGGCCCCCTTCTCAGACTCATACTGGGCTCCTTGAAGTCTTCCCATGGACCTCCAAGGGGCATAGCAAGAGGGGTGGACGTCAAAGAACCTTCAGGTTTTTTGGGGGGGGTTGGTTGTTTTTTTTCTCCCTGGGAGCGCGAGGGGAGAAGCGGAGTGAAGATCACTTGGGTGAGGATCAGAGGGGGCCGGAGCAGAAGCAGTCTCGTCGTTAGAGCAGAGGCCTGGACAGAGGCATGACCCCTCTGCCGGAACCATCTGCCAAGCATCTCGTCATTTCTGGGCTCACCTTGCTGAGCACTTGATGCACCAGAAAGTGAAGAATCATTCTGGAAAAGAATTTGAAATCACACAGGAAACATTCCCTAATTGTGCACACCTTTGACCCGGCAGTCCCCTTACTATACGTCATAGAGGTCACGGACAGCCAGACAAGAGCCAAATGGATAAAAATGCTCAGAGCAGAATTATCTGGGATGATAAAAAAGCTAGAAACCGAAACATGGGCTTCTTGATTGGGGCACAGCTGAACAAACTGGCATATCCCCGTGGTGGATCCCAAGAAGAAAGGCGACGGGGTGCCGGGGGAAGGCGCTCTGGTAGCACTCCCAGATGCTGCCCCCTGCCCTGGGCACATCCTGTGGGGAGGATTGGGTTCGGGTGGCAGCACACTCTAGGAGGACGGAGATGAGCCAGAGGGCGTACAGGATGGGAAGGAACAGCATCCACTGAGGCAATGTGGTGGACTTGGAAAGGTCAGAAGGGGCCCCGAATGCCGAAGAAGGAACTTTGGCTTGATTCCAGGCCCTCACATTAACCTGTGGGAGGGTCTGCCTGCCCCAGGTCTCTCTCACGACAATCCGTCCTCCATTCGGCCGCCAAAGTGGTTTTCCTGAAACATAGGATCAACCTGTGCCGCCCTCTACTCAGTGACCTCCAGTGACTCCCTAAGGCCTCTAGAGTCAAAGAAAATGCTGTGTTTGGCCTTCTCCAGCCTCAGCGTCCCCAGTTCCTCAGCTGAGCCTCCATTGGCTCAGAATCTGGCTGCCTTCGCCATCCTGGGGCTCCAGATTTCTCTAACAACTTCTTTGGTCTCTGAATAATAACATGAGCTGGAATGTTCCCCACCATGGAGACAATATGGATCTGACACCTCTCCTGGTTTCATATTTAAGAAACTGTCCAGCATGTATAACCTATGTCTGACTGCTTACCGCTCAGGGACGGAGGAAGGAGGGATAGGATT